AACTAATAGGTCTCCAGCTGTTACATTCTGCTGGATCTTTGTTTTTCTTTGGAATGAGTGAAATTGATGCTTGAGTTACGGATGGAGGAAGGGAACCACGCTCTAAGGAGTCATTGAACATATCCAATAGCAAGGGAGCCAGTTGATCAGAGAATTTCTTTAAAAAGTCAGCTGGGAAGCCGTCCGGGCCCAGTGCCTTGCCATTCTGTATTAATTTGAGACTGTCTGTAACCTCCTTTAAACCGAGTGGAGCATCTAGATTCCTTTTACTTGTTTCGTTGATCATAGGGAAGTCCAAATTATCCAAAAATTGTTTCATTGAGATGTTGTCAGGTGGAGCCTCTGATTGGTAAAGATTAGAATAGTACGAAGCGAAAACATTATTTATCTCCTTTGGGTCTGTAACTATTGTATGGGGGGGATTTGCGAATTTGTGTAATAAAACGTGAGGCAGATTGATGCTTTAGTTGTAACGCTAGCAGTCGGCTGGCCCTGTCCCCATATTCATAATTGGTACTCTTTGTGCGCCTTAAAACAAACTCTGCTTTGTTTGTGGAAATAAGATCAAATTCAGTTTGGAGCTTGAGTCTCTCCGTCTGAAGAGCGGGACTAGGAGAAGAGGGGTTCTGTCTGTCAATTTGTAGAATTGCTTCCATCAGCTCAAGTTGTCTCTGTATTCGCTGCTTATGTTCCCTGGCACTGTAAGAGATAATTTCACCGTGAATTACTGCTTTACAGGTTTCCCACAGGAGGGAAGGAGAAGTCGAGTCAGATTTGTTATTTAGGATAAAGAGCCTAATTTTCTCAGAAATAAATTCGCAGAATTTCTTAGAAGATAATAACCCTGTATTCAATCTCCACTTTGAGCGCTGTCCACTTTTAGGAAGCAATTCCAAGTCTAATAAAAGGGGGGCATGGTCTGATATGACTATTGCTGAGTATTCACATAATTTCACTGAAGGAAGGAGTATTTTGTCTAAAAAAAAATAATCAATGCGAGAATATGTTTGATGAACATGGGAATAGAATGAAAACTCTTTTGCTGTTGGGTGGCTGAATCGCCACGTATCCACACAAACGATTTGGTCTACAAGTGTCATAAGAGCTCTAGCCGTACTAGATGGGGTTAGGTTTTTTGGCTTGGATAAATCAAGGGCAGGATTAACAACCAAGTTAAGATCTCCCCCCAAAATAAGGTGGTGTGAATCCAGGCATGGGATTAATGAGAATAAGGACGTCATACAATTAGGACAACTCCAATTAGGGGCATAGACGCAAACCATAATAACAGGAGTTTGGAGCAATACACCCACGACTATAATGTAACGCCCATTTGTATCAGAAATACACTTTTCTAAAGAGAACTGTAGTCGTTTGTGTAGTAAAATTGCTGTACCTCTGGAACGGCTATTGAAGCTGGAGTGGAACACTTGTCCGACCCAGGGTTTCCGCAGTCTGGTGTGGTCACAGACACGCAGGTGGGTCTCTTGCAGAAAAGCAATGTCCGTCGTCAAATCCTTAAGATGTGAGAATCAGAGGTGTGGACTCGAGTCACATGACTTGGACTCGAGTCAGACTCGAGTCACCAATTTGATGACTTTGGACTCGACTTGACAAAATCACAAAACACTTGCGACTCGACTTGGACTTGAACACCAATGACTCGGGACTTGACTTGGACTTGAGCCTTCTGACTTGAGGTGACTTGATAATTTAATTCAGGGGTCTCCAACACGCCGATCGCGAGATGCCGCTAGAAGAGCAGACTCCCGTCGGGGAGAGCAGAATCTTCAGCCGCTGCAACTCTTGCTCAAAGAAAATCAGTAATATCTTTAAAAACGACAAGTCCTTTTATATTAGCTGTGCACCGTTATGGTGTATAACGTATTTTTTTTCGGATTTCACATCAACAGTAAGTCCGGTTAACTAAAATGTCCGTGCGGAACAATACCCCCAACCCATAGATCCGTGGGTGAATAATGTCAATCACCATTAACGGACGTGACGTTGTGCGATTGCGTTGCCTGGCAACGCAATCGCACAACGTCACGTCCGTTAATTCCACATCCACACTAGTCTATGATCCACACACATGGATTAACTTCGATTTAATACATTAATGTAGCCTTTGTTTCTAATAAAAGAGGTGTCGACCAGCTAGGACAACAAGAAAATCAAGTGTGACGATTAAAAAATAAATTAAAAACATATCATTTTGACAATAAAAACCGACCAATAGGCGCGGTAGACCATTTGCTTGGCACTTCCGGGTATTTCTCCACTGGTTGGGCCATGTTAACAATACCGTGTAACTGTCACGTTTGAAGGGACGAAACCGTGACATATTCACGTCTCCCAGCATGGTAGATCGTCACATGTTCACGTCTTGCCGTGATACCGGGTTGGTTTTCTGACACTTGGTGAGTTCCCTGGAACACCGGGGACACATATTCATGTATAAAAGACGTACAAAAGTGCATTTTGCATGATAGGTCCCCTTTAACGTCTATGTCCGTGTAGCTTCAGCTCGGTTATAGAAATAAAAATAACTTAAGTGAAAAACAAGATTCAGAGGGTGTAAGTGGACAGAGTCCTGATCAGTGGCGGCCGTGACTTTTATACCTAGGCCCTCTGACCCCCCTTCCCTAGAAATAAAAGAAGAGTTATTACGTCTCCGCGTATACTTCAGCGGAATATCAAAACAGCGGCCCAGGGTGCAAAACGCATCAATGACAGCGACCCTCTACCACACAAAACAACACCATTTATATAAACACCTATCATGACAGGGCACCCACAGCCAAGTAACAATTAAAAATGAATTAAGTCGGCACGTCGGCCAACATTGAAAATGACTTAGGCCTACCTTTGATGATCAATTCACTTAAACACAAAGTCCATCCTCCTGTCCTTTTGGATGAAGCACTTGATGGCGGGTCATGCAGCTGATCCTTTGCCACTCCAGTTTATCATTGTAACTCAATCTTGAAAATGACTCGGTTAATAATTTCGCAACGATGTCATCACTATCACTGAAATGAACCATCATGAATGAACTTATGCTAATCATAAATCTATCGATCATAAATCTATCGATTAGATTTATGATTCGAAAATAATAAAAGTAGGGTAGACATGTGGATATTATCCGGCTGAACAAAACGTGCATTTATCTAACAGGTTCGTTTTCCACAGACCTTATTTCGAGCTATTACATCCATGAAAAATCCCATTGCTTTTCTGTCGAGGGAACCCGAGCGCAGCTTACTTCCGGGTTTTAGGACGCGTCACTGCACCACTTGCACCACCTCACAGTGGGCGGAACTTGTCATAAAGTCCGCGAAAATAAAGCCCACCCATTTAGAGGGAAGATATGATTGGTCAATTGTACTGTCATTTGACATTACTCTCTCATTGAGTTACTATAGCTGGCCCTCTGTGAATGTACAGAGCGACCAACAAGCTCTCCCGTCTTCACAGTAACTCGCAGAGACGGCATTTAACCCTTCACATTCAGCAATAATATTCGTGGGTCAATTTGACCCACTGCATGTTTAATTATCCAAAAATTGTCAGAAGCCCCAAAATCCATATTTTCTTTTGTACATAGTTTGTACCTTTTATTACTATCAATGAAATCAATATTTAGTGCAATTGTGTTATTCACCTCTCACAGATCATGGTTCCATTAGAATAAGTCACTCGTTTTTCACAAAACATATACATTCAAACACGTTTTTCTATTTTCTTTTTTACATTGGAAAAACCTTGATATAAAATACATTAGTTTTGCATAACATAACATTTTTTAAATTACTTTTAAAATGTTCCAACTTTTTTTCCAATTGGTTGATGTTGTGTGTGTGTGTGTGTGTGTGTGTGTGTGTGTGTGTGTGTGTGTGTGTGTGTGTGTGTGTGTGTGTGTGTGTGTGTGTGTGTGTGTGTGTGTGTGTGTGTGTGTGTGTGTGTGTGTGTGTGTGTGTGTGTGTGTCCACTTTCACTGCCGGGTCAGATTGACCCGAATACCATCTCTGTGATATAGACATGTAGGGGGGGGTTCCAAATGCATGACATGAACCATTTTCATTTTACTTGTTTATTGCACTAATTAAGGTAAGGAGAAGAAGTTTCATACAAAAAAAATGCTTGAAAGTATTTTTCGTAGATTTTCAAACTTTCAAACGGGTCAATTTGACCCTGAATGTAACAGCAGGGTTAATCGCCATGTAGGTTCTCTTTTATTGCACACTCAAGACAATATCAATAACAGCATCACGCTGTCCCAGGTGTGTCGTATGCATGTAAATAGAAGTTAACATTTTCAATATCGAATAAAGTGTCAGTAGTATCAAAACATATATATATATATATATAATAACAATATAATAACAATAGGTAGGCTCAGCAGCAGACACACCTTAGTGCAAAGTGAAGTGTCAGTATTAATAACAGTGGCATATATATAAAATCACAATAATACAAAATTAACTGTCCCAGGTGTAGGCAATTTGGGGTGAAGTGTCTTGCCCAGGGACACAACGACATGCTGACTGCAGTGGGGTTTGAACCTGTGCTCCCCTGATCCGAACACCAACGCACCAGACAGATCACCAGACAGATCGCCTAGTAGGTTGTCAACAGAGACAACATTGGACATGGTGCAGACAGGGACAGTGTACAAAATGCAGGTGTAAAGTAGAAGATAAGATAGCATCAAATAGCTGACGCTCAAAGTGCCCTTATTTGTTTTTTATATTTCTTTAGAGTGCTTAATGTACGCTTGAACTTTTTCCAAAAATGATACGTTTTCTTACCGGAAGTCATGTGACCTCTAGCCCGGATGTTTATGAGAGAGTGAAAAGGGCGCTAAAAGTGTAAACGATGTATTTTCACGGTGTTTCATAATTGTACCAAGAAGGAAATAAACGTGATTAGTGGACATCAGTTCGATGCGTAACGTTCTTTCAAGACCAGAGTAGTTACAGTGTGTTTGTACGTACTTTTGCGTTTGGATGGTTGAATAGGAGACGAGAAAGTGCTGCTGTTGTGATCCGGAGGGGAAAGCTCACTTGTTTCCAATCCAGAGAGTTGTCCTGCCTCGCCTGAAACACACGATTAGTGCCATGAGTTAGTGAAGCAAATTACAGAAAACATTACACACTTATTCACAAGTCAAAAACGTTTTCATAGCGGCCGAGAATGATGTTATTAGCCATGCTAGGCTGAACTGGCTAGCAGTGTTAGCCAGTTCTGGCTAGCATGGCTAGCTCGATCTACTGAGCAAATAAAAGTACATCTGAGACCAGTATTGTGCAGATTAAAACAGTGCAGTGCATGTAGTTTATTTTACCTTCGTAGTAGTCGTCGTTGGACAATTCACAGGCCACTGAATCCGCCGTTTCACCACAAGTGCCGGAGATTAATGAGGGTCTGTGTCCGAGCAGAGCATCCAATCGATCATACAATTTACGGGTCTTCCGGCCGTTACCACTCTTGTTATTATGGTCTTTTATTTGTTTGTAGTCCTGCTTTAGTTTCTTTATTTTGTCCCGGCATGAGTGTGCGCTGTGGAAGATTCCCATGTCGGCTAACTTTACCCAACAACGCTGATACATTTTGCAGTTGGAAGTAGAGAGCTGCTGGATCCCATCCTCCGAGTAAATCGCCAGACGTGCCGACACATCCTCATCACTCCACCGCTCCGATGATTTTCGTTTTCTTATTGTTGCCATAATAACTGCTTTCACAAAAGTACTCTCGTTGGTGCGCTGGGCTAGTAATAATGCCAGCAAATACAATGGCGGCCTTCAAAAAAAAATCAGAGACTCACGGGGCGTGGTTTGCATTCCACACAGCCAATCACACGTATGAACTTTTTTCTCCCGCGTAAGTCCCTGCTCTCTAGCAGGGACTGAAAACGGCGTAAAAATGGTTCTGATGAACTAATTTAGTTCCTGGGGCTTTTTGGTGTGAATGCAAATATATTGTAGTTCTGATGAACTATTGTGGGAAAAGTACTCCGGTGTGAAAGCGCTAATTGTCCATTTGATTCTTCCATTTCGAACGAAATGGACCAATCCGTGGAGCCATTACGTTACGTCCGCGGATTATTTTTCCGAAATAAGGTCCCATGGACCGGAAGTAGATGGGCATGACTTCGCCACTCCAGCTACTTTCCTTACTATGGAGTTGGCAACACTGCAGTTGGGATCGCGGCGAAATTCTCTCTGCAGACCCATTCGTTTATCAACCTTTTTCTTACTCAATATCAAGCCACACTTATTGTTTTTACTTCGGCTGTTGTGTGTGCTCAGGATGAGTTTGGCTGTGTTTGGCTGTGTATCGCTAACAAGGAAACAACACCTCCACGGAGCTCAGCGCGATTCACAACGTCCCGACCAATCAGAGCACACTGGGACTCACAGGGAGGGTGGGGGCTGGAGCTATTGGAGCTACAACGAGCCGTTAAAGGCAGAGAGTGAAATTCAGTGAATACACGTAGTTTACAGAGATGCTCTATGAGAAACCAATGTGAGTTTGGAAAATTGCACAATATAAATCTATTCTAGTAGACCTCAACAATGGAATTATGATCAGTGGAAATGGCCATGACATGGGCCCTTTAAGAAGCCTCCAGAAATGATTGCTGTTTCATTTTTAATACAAAGATATCTAGTTTTAACCAGGACAAATGTTTTTTTTTGCTAGTATAAGCATGTTTCCAGACTACAGCCTGTGCCAAATTGAATATCTGGGCGTCAATAATGCGGCTTGCATGTGGATGAACCCTTACTTTCAGCCTTTTCTCTTTGCCAAAACAGACTCATCAGTTTAAGAGATACAATTGATAAACATATTTAGTCAAATGTATTAAATGTAGGAATTTATTAGCAGAGGATTTTTGAATTACAACTAAAATTAATTTAAATTTGTCAAAACACTGATCTATCAGCAGTCAATTGGCTCTTGGGCCTGAAACAACAATGCAGCAGGCAAATAACTACAACGTTAAAGTAAAGTAAAAATAGATAAATAAAATTACAAATCACAAAATCACACCTATAGGAACCAATCAAGTCAATGTTGTTCAACAAAGGCAATTAGTATAGCTTACAGCTGTTATATATACTTTAAATATCCTAAAAGAGAGACAAAAACAATCAAACCTGTGGTGGCCATGGCTGCAGGAGATGTGGAAGAGCTCCAACTTGTAGATATGTTGCAGGTTGCTGTTTCAGGTTGGATATGAAGCAAGGCGTAGCAGGACAGGATGCAGAACTGCGTCAGAGCCTCTGTGGGCGAGGGAGAATTAGCGCATTACATCCATAAGGGTGGAGTTCTACCAACGAGGGGGGGAATCTATCAGGATGCGGACTACAACAAAAGGCAGTGGGAAGCACATGTATCCCACATTCTAAATAAATAGAAATTTGAAAAATATATATTTGAAATCTAAGGGGGTTGCTGTTAATTTGTCTATGACGTGGCTTTGCTCTAATAATCCCACCAGTCTCTTAATTATACTGCCTTCCCAATACATAGAAATGTTGCTTGCTTGCTCAAAATGCCCCAGTTTCTCTCCCATGTGTTATGCAGTGCAGTCCCTTTCCTGCAACACCAAGAGAAATGCTCATGCTGGTAGAGCATGAGTTTGATTTGGTAAAAATATTTCAGCTTCCTTTAGTAAAAAAATAGACTCAGAGCTGTTGATAAAACACTGACCTCATCTCCACTGCTCTTTGCCTCTGCGTCTACTGAGCTGTAGAAATAATTGTTTAATTAAAATATTGTTTCAAACAAAGGCAATACAATAGGCATTAAAGATGAATATTATATAAAAACATATTTACCAATTGGAACAGCTATTTCCACATCAGGATCCTTCGGTCTGAGGAAAATCAGAAGTTAGATAGTCCAGCTGAAGGGATTTTAATATAATATACAGAAAACCATTGTTTTTACAGATGAGAGTCTGATTTGTTGATCACTAACCTTGGCTTGTCACTCGAACAGCTACATTTTTTGGCTGTGTTTGGGGAAAACACAAAAATATGGCTTGTGACCCCTCAAAATAAAGTCCTATATACTTTTAATAAAGATTGTTTATTTATGAGGAATACAAGAGGGGAAAGAGATCATAAGAAAATAAATAAATAAAGACAAAACTCAGGGAAAGATCAAACATATCTTTGTGTAACAGAAATATGAGTTTTCTTTCTTTTAGCTGTTAATTCTGAGATATATCTTAGGGTACTGATCCCAATGTTAGAAGCCTTTTCTTTAGTGCTCTTCAATGGGGCGGTATACTATGGTTGGAATGGCACAATATAGATAGAGAACACTTCCAAAAATGGCCCAATAAAATGTAAAGATAACAACTAGTACATGAATAAAAGTAGGTATTCATAAATCTCAATGCAGATTCAAAGTCATCCTGTTCACTTTAGCGCCTTAGATGGACTGAAAATCCGGCCTGCGATTTAGTGGGCAGGATTAGAAGTATCCGCAGTGGGACTACACCAGAAGCTTAGTCTTGGGGTGACTGTTTTCCATAACTTCTGGAAAAACAAGTGGAAAATGCAAACTTGTCTCAACCTCCCAGATGTTTCCTGTGTAGAGGAGTTAGCCATTCAAAGGCCGGGCATATCTGCTAAACACTCACCGTATTCCAAAACTCTGTCATAGTCTGGTAGGAGAGAACAGAGAGGAAACAAATGAGAAGCAGATTTACCCACTGACACACTTCACAGAGCACTCATGATATGAGAGCTATTCAGCACTTTGAGGGCTTCAGTCATCCATCTAGTCATTAGCCAGTTTGGTGCCAGTGCCAATTTATATGCCAGCTAAAATGACTGCGGTCAAGCCAGCATCCGCGTTATCCTATGCATTACGGTAGCGGTCTGGAAAAACTGCCTTCAAAATAAAAGTGCTTACTCGGTCAATAACAATTATACCAAACATATTAAAATATGTACTATATAGGCCTAATGTGATCAATAATAATGTAAGACAAACTACGTATAACTACCACATTATAACTAACTACCACATTATAACTGACTGAATGTAAAACTTAAAGAGTTTCAAAATAAAAGACCTTTGAAGTCTCATATATGAGCTATCATCCCTCTGTTTTTAGATGAGATTAAAACAAAAACTGTCCAGTATCAAATACTAATATCATTTCAGGGTGATAGCAGGACACCCCATCTAGTCACTCAAGGAGAATCAGGACAATCTGATGTAGAGTTTCAAAATAAAATACCTTTGAAGTCTCATATATGAGCTATCATCCCTCTGTTTTTAGATGAGAATAAAACAAAGACTGTCCAGTATCAAATACTAATATCACTTCAGGGTGATAGCAGGACACCCCATCTAGTCACTCAGATAAAATCAGGACAATCTGATGTGGAGTTTCAAAATAAAAGACCTTTGAAGTCTCATATATGAGCTATCATCCCTCTGTTTTTACATAACAGTAAAACAAAAACTGTCCAGTATCAAAGATTTATTTCACTTCAGGGTGATAGCAGGACACCCCATCTAGTCACTCAGATAAAATCAGGACAATCTTAGGGTTACCTTATTATCAGTGATACTAAAAATATTGTAAATGTTCTTGTACTGTAAGTGTAGTGTATCAAAAACACATATATTTCTTGCAAGTGTATTTAAGAATAGGAAGTTAACATATCATATCAGTGCCCCTAAAAATATACCTAATGGTATATAGGACATAAGACGGAGTGTCTTAGGAAAAACAGTCTGCTTGGCACCCATTAATATGCATTTTATGTCAGTTTCAGCTCATGGAAGATAGTGCATTCTAGGAACTGGAGGGACTCCACACCCACATTTTTTTCAAAAATTAAAAGATTCAAAAGTTTTTTGTCATGTGTACATAAAGAAAAACATTTCTGAAGCAATAACCCTCTACAACTTGTCATCCCTGGCCAGCAGATAACTCCCAGCACCATACATTGTTTGATCCGTCTGCTACATTGTACTTACAGTACATCGTACATGCAGTGCATACTTTTGAGAATTTAAAATGTATTCTTGTCTGTTCTATAGTGTGCATTTAGATGTAGATACTCTTATTTTACAGTGAATATGGATATTTTTGCTTTAACCTTTCATTCTCTTCTATTTACACTATATTTTTTCCAATTTTTTTCGGGGTGATAGCTCATATATGAGACTTCAAAGGTCTTTTATTTTGAAACTCTACATCAGATTGTCCTGATTCTCCATGAGTGACTAGATGGGGTGTCCTGCTATCACCCTGAAGTGAAATAAGTATTTGATACTGGACAGTTTTTGTTTGATTCTCATCTAAAAACAGAGGGATGATAGCTCATATATATGAAACTTCAAATGACTTTTATTTTTGAAACTCTACATCAGATTGTCCTGATTCTCCCTGTGTGACTAGATGGGGTGTCCTGCTATCACCCTGAAGTGAAATAAGTATTTGATACTGGACAGTCTTTGTTTTATTCTCATCTAAAAACAGAGGGATGATAGCTCATATATGAGACTTCAAAGGTATTTTATTTTGAAACTCTACATCAGATTGTCCTGATTCTCCTTGAGTGACTAG